GTGGGGTTGTTAACCAATGTCATAAAACAGCATGTGTGTTACTGTTACATGAGAAACTATCTGTTCTGTAAGCCTTCACCTGAAGTACAATAAAATATTTAAAAAAAAAAAAAAAATGACTCAGCACAGAAAATAGACAACAAAGAAAATGTGAAAAACACACAAAAAGAGATATCAAGATGACAGCACTAAACTCATACCTATCAATAATTAAGCTGAATGTAAATGAACTTAATGCACCAATAAAGAGACAGAGTGGCAGATTGGATAAAAAGGCATGATCCATCTATATGCTGCCTACAAGAGACGCACCTTAGAGTTAAAGACACAAACAGGCTAAAACTCAAAGCATGAAAAAAAATAAGCAAACAACACTCAAAAAAGAGCAGGAGTGGCAATATTAATCTCTGACAAAATAGACTTTAAAGTATAATCCACCACAAAGGATAAGGAAGAGCATTATATAATGATTAAAGGGTCAATACATCAGGAGGACATAACTATAATAAATATTTACACACCCAACAACAGGGCTCCAAAATACATAAATTCTAACAGCTCTGAAGAGAGAGACAGCTCCACAATAGTAGTAGGAGACTTCAACACGCCACTTTCGGTGAAGGACAGAACATCCAGTAAAAAGCTCAACAAAGACACAGAAATGCTAACTGCTACAATCAATCAACTTGATCTCATAGACATATACCGAACACTGCACCCAACAGCAGCCAAGTATACTTTCTTTTCCACCACACATGGAACATTTTCCAGAATAGACCACATATTAGGCCATAAAGCAAGCCTTAAAATCCAAAACATCAAAATGTTACAAACCGTCTTTTCTGACAATAAAGCCATAAAAGTGGAAATCAACAACACAAAAAGCAAGGAAAAAAAATCAAACACATGGAAACTGAACAACACCTTGCTCAAAATCTACTGGGTTGTAGAAGAAATTAAGGTGGAATAAAGAAATTCATAGAATCAAATGAGAATGAAAACACATCCTGCCAGAACCTTTGGGACACAGCAAAAGCAGTGCTCAGAGGTCAGTTTACAGCAATAAATATGCACATCCAAAACGAAGAAAGGCTCATAATCAAAGCATTAACCCTACAACTGGAACAAGTAGAAAGAGAGCAGCAAAAGAAGCCCGCAGGTGCCAGAAGGAGGAATTAATAAGAATTACAGCAGAATTAAATGAAGTAGAGAATAGAAAATTGAAAGAGTTAACAAGTCCAAAAGCTGGTTCTTTGAAAAGATTGACAAAATTTATAAACCATTGGCCAAACAAAAAAAAAAACTGGAGAGGAAGCAGATAACCCATATAAGAAATGAGATGGGTGATACCACAACAGACCCAACTGAAATTAAAAGAATCATAACAGATTACTATGAAAAATTGTACTTTGACAAATTTGAAAACCTAGAGGAAATGGACAAATTTCTAGAAACTCACCACCTACCTAAATTAACACAAACAGAGGTAGAACAACTAAATAAACCCATAACTAAATAAGAGATTGAAAAGGTTATTAAAAACTGCCAACAAAAAAAAAGCCCTGGCCCGGATGGCTTCGCTGGAGAATTCT